ATAGGAGGTCGGAACTGTCACGGTCGTGTCTCTTGTTTCCCACCTTGACTGAGGTGGCTGCAGTTTCTAGAGGGTGGACCCCCTCCTAAGGGGATGCTGGGTGGTTCCTGGGCTCCAGGTGCTCCACGGAGGGAGGAGCTGGGAGGGGGTGGGACCCTGTAGGTGGGGGAGGGGCGGGAGCGGGCGCTGCTAAGGGTGATCCCAGGACGGGGCTGGGTGACATTTGACTGAATTTTTTTGAAAAGTCAGGAAAGAGAATTTCACCCTGTCATAGCTGGAAGGGCTCTTTGAGACCATCGACACCCTCTTAGGGTGCTGCTGAGCAGCTGAAGGGTGTTACCTGTCCACACCTGCAGCACGGTGTTACCTCCCCCCCCCCCCCCCCACCAGCCTCTCCTTGAAACCCGGTGGGTGGCGCCTTCATCTGGGTTCTGACGCCCTGGATTCCTGGGCACGCCCCACACAATTGAGCAGACCTGCAGAGGACCCTCAGACCTGCCCTACCCCTTCGCACTCAGCACTTCCTGCTTCACACCTGCCCTGGCTTCCCACTCCCTGAAGGGGGCCATCATCTGCCTCCTTCGCATGGCACCAGGCTCTGGCGTCTGGTCCTGAGTTACCTCTCCAGCCCCTCACCGCCCCCGCGCCTCCAGGCCCCCTGAGCACAGACCTCCTCTCCTACTTTCCCGCCCCCAGCCCTCCTGTATCTCAGCACAGGCCTGTGCTCCTCTTCCAGCTTCCTGGAGCACTCCTCCCAGCCTGCTCCCAGCCCGAGGGCAGCCTCTGAGAGCCCAGTTCTGCGTCAGGCGCTCAGAGCTCTGGGTTTGTAGCTGCCAGTTTCCCAGCCCTTACTTCCACTGGACCAGAGTGCACAGAAACTGCCTGGCCCGTAGCAGGCTCTTAATAAATATTTATTGACTGAACAGGGTCTATAAATACTCTTTTGAGCTCCAAGAAGACAATATCAATCTCTTTCCCGCAGACTCTAGCCCATTTCCCCTTGTCCCAAGCTCTTTAAGCATCTGCTGGAGTTCAGGTTTCTTTATCACAGGGTCTTGGAGGACCAGGAGCCCGGATTCTCAGAGACCCTGAACACATGGATGAGGTGCTAAACAGGGCAGGTTCGGCTTCCATGCAGGTAGCCGGGACCTCCTCTGGCCACTTAACACTGTGCACTGCAGGTTCCCAGGGACTGATTTCCAGTAGTTAAACAGGACCCAGTGAGGCTGCACGCTCTGTGTTAATTAAGTTTTGTGGTTTCAATGCGACAGTGTTCAGCATCTGCCTTCTCCGACAGGTAAATGCTGCTCCCCGGGGCCCTGTTCTGCCTGCGAGATAGAGCAGGCATCTTTCCAAGGACTTTCTTCTCTAGCACTTTGAAGATGCATGGGCATTAATTTTTATGCTTCATATCCAAAATAGACAATAAAATTAGGGAAGCAGGTTAGTGTCAATCTACAGGGCTGCCTGTGGAGGTGATCTGAGTCCTTCAGAGTCCTTGGAGGGAATTTCTGAGGTTGTCCTGCCCTCCCTGAGCAGAACTTTAACATTCAGAGAGGGCTATGCTGGGAGGGAAGGCAGATGCCCAAAGCATGAGGAACTGACAGCTTCCCCTGGCACGGCAAGCTTAGGTATAGAAACCAGAGAGGGGCTCCTAGTAGGAGGGTCTAGGGGAACAGGGTGGCACATGCTCAGTCCACCCACTGGGGGCAGCCCAAACCAGCAGTGTCTGCAAACAATTTGGACGGGGGCCGGACCACGGTGGGTCAGCGGTGCCCAGGGATGCACAGAGTACATCACCCATGTGACACTCTCCCTCACTCTGGGTGACAAGTGGAGGGCAGCGGCCATTTGTCAGATGTCTACTGTGTGCTGTGACCTTACGTGAGCTGTCACCCTCACTGCAGCCCAGCGGGGAGGGTAGAGGGACACCACCTCTGCAGGAAGAAACTGAGGTCGGGGTAGGGGGCAAGATCTCCTGCAAGTCCACAGCCTGTTAGTGGCAGAGGTAGGTTTTAAGGCAGGTGAAAAGTCCTTGTTCTCCCAGGGCACTGCACCTGCTCTTCAGGGCATGCCTTGGGACCCGAGGATCCCAGGAGGAGGGTTGCCTAGCATGGTCAGGTGTGGAAGGAGGGAGCAGAGGAGTGGGAGAGGCCCCCCGCAGCCCGCTCCTCACCCCCCTGCAGACTGGATGAACCTCAGCATGTCACTCCCCACCAACCGTCCAGTTCTGCTTTGTGCTCCAGGGCCAAACACCTGACCCTGTGCCAGCTGCTGGGATGGGTGTAATTAGGCGGAAAAGGCTCCAAAGAGCCCATGCCAACCAATCACAACCTTGCAATTAAAAAAAGCTACATGGAAGTGAAGTGTCAAGGCGTCCTGTGACTTCTGCTGGGTGTGCCTATGACAGGAGCTGGTCAGCTGGAAAACTGCTGGCCTGCAGTTCCTTCCAGCATGTACTTGTGTAAATACTGCGGGCTGACCCCAGGAACACCCTGGGGTTTAGGTCATGTGCTTCTGAGCTGGGGTACTCCCTCTTCCAAAGTAGAAAGCACTTTCGGGGGGATGGTTTTCTCCCATACCACCCCTCTGGGCACCAGCTCTCAACACAACCCAGTTTGTTCTTGTAGCTCCTAATTCCCAGGGGGAAGCGGAAGAAAGATAAGAGTCCATTCATACCCAGAGGGCGTTTGGGACTTTGACATGAAGAGCCAGAATCATGGCATGCTTAGGGTATCATGAGGATTCTTCCTTGCCACATTAAGTTCATTATAATGAAAAAACAATCACAGTAAAGGGTATTTGTGAGTGAGACCCTGATACGGCAGACACAAAGGGACGGGGTGGTGGGGGAGGTGGATCCAGGTAATTTGGTTGGAGGCTGACACTGTTGCCGAGCAGGCATTTTGCTCCTACCAGCCTCTGTGCTTAGAACCATGTGGACACTAACTCCTGGACGTATGTGGCGCCTGAGATACCTGTCTCCCAGATGCCGGAGGTGGGGGACTGGAGAGGCAGCCCTGTGCTTGGCTCACTAGCTGTGTGCTCTCTACTTTGGGAGGAAGAACATTTTCTGGATAGAGGCGAGGCCAAGCCTCAGAGACTGCTCCCCCCCACCCCCCCAACCCCTGGCTCCTTTGATGGGAAATGAAGCACTTACCTGGTAATCTCAAGACACACCCTCCATTTGGAGTGAATGGTGCAGGGGAGAGGACACGTGTGGTGCGAAGACCTGAGACCTAGCCCACAGGGATCCCAGGAAGGCTGCAGATGGTGGGGCTGGTGGTGGTTGGGGAGGCTTTCCACAGTGAACTCTCGACTCCCCTCCCGCTCAGCCGCCCACGCCACCAGTGTTTGAGCTGGCCAGGTGGAGTTCAAGCATGAACCTCGTGAAGACCAGCTCCAGCACTAAACCATGCTATGATTACCAAACACCTTTACCCAGACGCCCAGCTCACTGCTGACGCTGGGTCAGGCACGCCCGTTGCCGCTCCCTCCCTCTTTCAGCCGCTGGTTCTGGTCACGTGCTGTCTCCAAGCCCCTTCCGGGGGATCACTGTCACTGCCCCTCCCTGCCCACCCAAATCCACTATTAAAGTCACGCTCCAAACCGTCATTTTCTTTTTAATTTTTAATCAGTCTGTGTCAAGAAAAAACAGGATTTGATCAAGCTTCCAGCTCTCACCGCTCTATCAGCATAGCAATTTTATGAACAAAAAAAAAGAAAAGAGTGTTTTTGTATTTGTCTGAAACCCAGAGGAGAAAAAGAATCAGATCCACAGATTAACATGTATTTGAAGAGACATTTCGGGACTTGGGAAATGTGTTTATCAATCATTTTTTAGGAAGGACACCCAGTGGGCCCCGGGAGGGTACGGTGGGCGTGCTGGATGGACTGATGGGTAAGGCAGCAGGGGACCCCGAAGCAGGAGGGCAGAGCTGTCCATCTTTGGAGCCTGTGGACTTTGCAGGACAAAATAAAAGGGGTAAAATAATTCAACCTCATACTTTATCTGGAAGAAGAGGAATGTGTTTCCAGATAGAATTTCTGTTTTGGAAAATTAAATCTGACTGAGTTTGGGAGCGGGGACAACAACTCTTAATAGTTAAAAGGAGAGGGGCTCACAACTGAGATAAACTGTCAAGTGGAAGCTTTTAAAAATGCTGAAACAAAACATTACCTTGGTTACTTCTCCACCATGAGATGTATTTGAACACACTCTGACCATGTGTAAAGTCACAAGGTTTAGCCAATGCCGTGGATCCATGTGCTAGACCATGAATACAAATACTGACGACATTTCACCAAAGGACAGCACGGAGGACAGGAACTCTACCTTTTGGAGAAATTTCCAGAAAGCAGAGTCTGCCTGAGTCTTTCCTTTCCATTCTCAGTGGAACTGCCACGTCCCGCTTTAATCTTGCCTTGAGTAGGGTTGTCCAGTGCAAGGAAGACTGTCCCAGGGACACTTGAGAACCTTTCTTTGGGAGCCTGCAGGGGGTGTGCTGCTGCTCTTCCAGCAGCTCAACACAGACTTCCTACAGAGGCTGGGCCATCCGAATCTGGAGTCCAGAGACAGTTTGAAGCGGATTTTAGAAGCGATTTACGTAATGTGACATGCTTTCAGAGGAGGCGGGTAATACTCGTAAGTCGGTGGGAGGTGGAATTTGGTGGATATATGCGTGGAACCGTCTGTCCCATGTTCTGCAGCATGAGTTGCCCTTAATACCTTCATCCAGGACTGCTCAGGGTTGCCCCTCATCCTGCTGTTCCTCACTGGTCTTGGCAAATCCTCAAGTCTTATTTTAAAGCACTGCCGCTGCCGTTTATCAGCCTCGCTCTTGAGTCCGAGATGCACAATAAGAGTCACTGTCCCCATGTTGTTGATAGATTAGAAAACTTGCTCCATCGCCCCCAAGCTCTGTCCTCCAGAGGCCTCACTCCAAGGTACACGGTTCCCATCCCCAAGGGGGTAGCAGAATCATCGGGACTTTCTCCAGTTATGGATCTTCTTCCATTAGAGGGATCTCTGTAAAAAGAGATGGTTATTAAACTGCAAGAAAGAGACAATTATCATACTAATATACTGAAAAATACTGTGAAGATCTGGAATTGTGAGTTTCAGTAAAATAGAGTTCCTACTTCCCCAGTAGCTCAGATGGTAAAGAATCTGACTGCAATGCAGGAGACCCAGGTTCGATCCATGGGGTTGCAGAGAGTCGGTCACGACTGAGCAGCACACACACAAATCAGTAAGAAGATAATGCCAAGTTCCACGTATCAGTTAACAAGCAAACAAACCAGCACTTCTGTACATAATTAGCTGGAAAATCTCATATCTAGCTCATAAAAATTAAACTGTTATGCTTCAACCACGTGTCCTAATGGTAAAGGTTACAAGTTCAAGTACAGAGTTCTCTACGGGGAACCAGGAGACCCCTGAGTCCACACAGTTACTGTGACTTACTGCCAATATAAGCTGGAATGAGTGCTTTCATTTGTGAAGTGGTACTGGCACTTCCTCCCCTGGGAAATGAGCCCTATTTAATCTGATGCATTTTTATTATTTTACCATGATCTGCAAGATGCTTTTCCTTGCAGTAGCAAGGAAGTAGTAGTACCTTCCTTCTACTTCACACCTGGTAAACATAGCCTGTATGTACCCAGAACTTCTCCAGGGTGGGCCTTCGGGCCCGGATGTAGGTCTTCCCTTTTAGCATGCATGTGTTACCTTGATCCTGAGCACCACTTTCAGAAGTCCTGCCTAATTAAGGGAAAGAGAAGAAAAGCATCCTGGGTTACGTGGATGCTGTGAAAATCAAGTTCCGCCCACCTAGCCTTTCTACTCTGGATGGCTTGGTGCTCTTTTGTGCCTCCTGAAATTGCAGTTAATGGGCTCATCACTTGTGAGGTGATGATCCTTCCTTCCAATAACTGGCCTTGCCCACGGCCTCTACGTACAGCATGCAATTTCAGCTGAGAGAGACGGAAGCTCTGATTTGACTCTGAGCTGGGAGCAGGGTGGTGGGGGGTGGTGGTGGTGGGCTGCACCAGGGTGGCTTGGACCTCGGGGTCAATGCTTACCATCTGCAATGTCGATGCCCGGGCTGGTGGATGCCACCTCCCCCGCCGTGCTGGGAGCTGTGTCAGGGTTGTCGGAAGCAGGGCGGGTGCTCCCTTGGCACATGGGAGGTGAATATAGACTCTGGAGCAGCTCCGAAGAGCCTGAGACGCTGTCGCAGGTTTCTGACTCCCCCGGGCCGGTATCTGTGTCCCCTGAGCCAGGGTATGCTGGGGGGCTCTGGTCGTCCACGGGTAAGGGGCAGCCCTGGCCCACAGAGGCCAGGTACCCGGGGCCTAAGGCACTGAAGCCGCCGCTCACAGCCTCGTCATAGGACGGGAGCATGACGGGCACGCCATCCACCACCACGAAGTCAGGGTCGCTGCTGGAACTCCTGGGAGGTCCCCTGTGGAGAGCAAATTGGTGCCAAGGTGACAGGTCACCCCGGGAACGAGGCCACAGCACCCACCCATTGCAGCTGGGGTCCTCAGGGCAGCGGAGCCAGAGGTGCAGAACATGGCAGCCGCCCTGCCGGGTCCCCTCCGGCAGATGACGCATTCACCAGGGCCACGCTCCAGACGGGACAAGCTTTTCTTCTCACTGGCCCCTGCCCTCCACCTTCCTCTTGCCCTTTCCTGCCCCCCCTCTGGGCTCCATCATCTTCTCCTGCTATAAACTCATAGATGGGGGACTATGTGGCCCATTCCAACCAAGCATCCCAAGGTGCCCCTGCAGTGTCCCCTGCTGGAAATGGAATAGCATCATTAAGGGCTTGGGAAAGTGTGGACCTTAGGTGCCCCTGTCAGTTACCGCTGCACTTAGGATGCTTCCTGTTTGTTTTCTGTTGCGGTCTAAAACTCACTCATTTTCAGTCAAGACAGAGAAGCAACAACAGGAAAAAAAAAAGGAACTCTTTCCAGGTTTGTGGGCTTGTGGTCACCTGAACCTAAGCTTCACCGTGCTGCCAGAGTGGGGGTCCCCTTACCCTGCCATGCACTCGGCTCTGGCCTTGCCCTTGGTCTCCGGTCCCCTGCACCTTCCAGACCTCGGGTCTGAGGTCAAAGTCTCAGCTCAGCTGACCTCTCTCTGCTCCTGGGCCCTAGAGGAACTGGGGTGGCTAGTCAGCGGCCAGTGGGACTCGGTTCCTTATCTTCTCGGCTGGGAACTGGTCCTGAGTGACGTGGCCAGAGGGTAAACTATCAGGAAGAGGGACAAGTCAGCTGGGTGGGCAGGCCACGAGCTCCGGCATGCTGGCCTCCACAGGAGCTCTGAGTCTGAGGACTAAGAGGTCTGGATGCTGGCACGTGGGGCAGAGGAAAGCGCCAGGCTCTCTCTGACACTTGAGGCCACTGGCGTTTTGGAGCATCTTGTTTGGAGATGCTGTCAGGGTCCTCTTGTTCCACCATCCTTAAGGCCATCCAGAGACAGAGGGAGATTACAAAGTTTATACCCTACTCCCAAAGACGGAAGCTGGGAGGCAAGGAAGAGTCTGCTTCAAATCTGGGTTCTCTCCCCTTCCATGGCCCTTATGAGTGGATCTTGGATCCACTGAGCTCCCCTACTCGCCAGCCTGCCCAGTCTCACGCTGGCCTCCTGCCTCACTTGGGCCTGCCTACCTTTTCAGTCTTTTTCAGCTTCAAGTTGCCCAGGTCAGGGGGACCCCAAGGATGCTTCTGTTCTCTGTTCTCCCCACAACAACAGCTCTCACCAGGGCTCCCATGAACTGTCAGCCTCTCCCTCGCTGGTCCCAGCCCCATGGACTATCATCAGCATCTCTTCCTAGTCTACGGCTCTGGGACCAGCAGAAAAAAAACCAAAAACCCCTTCCTGGACCTGCCCTGAGAATCTATGATCACTCTGCATAGCTGAGACCAGTTTCCACACAGATAGATAGTAACCTATGAAGGAAATATTCAAGGAATTAAAAAAAAAAAAGTATAGTGAGTGTAAGGGACCATTTAAAAAAAATGTCTTTAATATTTAAACTCTATCCTTATCCTGGAAACTCGGTTCCCAAGCCTCTGTAGAAAAATAGCTCTATAGGCCACATTCAAATACTCCATGTACTATAAATCACAGTATGTAGTTTAGCTTTCTCCTTGTAACCCCTAGGCCTTCTTTAGATAGCTAATTGCTCCATGATAGAACATGGTCTCTTGACTCATAAATAATGTGAGGATGGAGAGTGCAGGTGACGGGTTCGAGAGGAAAGAAGGCTCTGGCACTTCAGCAGGGGCTTGGCTGTGGCCCCAGGATGGTGCTCCCACACACTGTGTCTGGCGAGGATGCAGGGGCCCCTACTCCCACTCCCCACCTAGCACAGCTCCGAGGCTGGAAGAGTGGGGTGCCTTCAGGTCATGGGGTCCCTGTAGCAGGTGGGGGGGCACTGTTCTGTGGGATGAGGCTGTCCTGGGGGCGCGAGGTTGAGGGAAAAGGTGGGATGCTGTCTCCAGCAGCCCTGCCTGCTTCCCTCTCCTGCGTCCGGCTGGGAGTGTGAGTGTGGGTTTTCCCGGAGGGCCAAGTGGGGAGTGGTTAGTCCTGGAAGCCGCCTCCTCCTTCACTCAGTAACACTCTGCCGAAAGAGTGGTACACGCGCCCACAGAGGCCAGCCTGTCCCTGTGGGCAGAAACACATGCCCTTGGGTGAAGCCTGAGGTCCCCGTGTGAGAAGCTCTCACGTGGGCACAGGAATCCAGGGGAATACGTGATGCCTTTGTGAATCAGGGAGCTCTGGCTAACATCCTGTGATGTTCGGTGCCCCGCTTCCCTTCTCCTGATGCTCACAAGCTCATCCTGGGGTTTCCTAAACGACTTCTCCTTTCAGGAACAGTGATCCGCCCACAGCAGCGCTGGGTGGCTCCTGGTTTTGCAGGGCGCTGGCATGCTTGGTCCAGGATGAGTGGCCAGCGCCAGAGGGGAAGGGCCACAGCCGCCCTGGGCACTGAGACGGCCAGACCTGCCTCTGAGGGACTTTGACACCCTCCTCTCGATGATGACGAGTGCGAGGATGAAAGCACTGAACCCAGCTCACTGGTGCAGCCGAGGAGGATGGAGACCCCCCCACCTGCCCACAGGTCCCACTCCGAAAGCTCAGATCCCACCTGGAGGCAGAAATGCATCAGCCCTGCTCTGGCCCCCAAACAGAGCCTTTCTCCTTCCTGAGACTTGCTGAGGTTTTGCACACCGGTTTGGAAAACTGTTGGGTCACGTACCTTGGACCTCGTTCCTAAATAGTTCTGTGTATTTCTTACCGCCCCGCCCCTCCCACCGGCCTCATGGCCTGGAAGCTCTAAGGTACATAACTCAAGAGCCATAGACACATAGTAGGCAATGGGGGTGCCCCTGGGGGGTGGGGAGGTGTGGGGTGTGCATCTCTGACTCTGCTCCCCTTCTCTGCACCGTGCACAAGGCCTGCCTTGAGACTGTCTAGCCAGGGAAAGAGGGAGACAGGGGTTCATGGTTGGGAGTGGGGGTAGGAGGAGGGGGGAGGCGGAAAGAGGGAAATGAATGAGTCTGTCTCCACCTTGCAGACAGACCCCAAAACCTCGCAGGAAAGCATGTTGGTTTTCTCCCCTACTCCCCTCAGAAGCTGGGCTCTGTACCCCTCGAGGCTGACCATCCTTTCTCTTTGCTGCTCCAGGCGGCTGCACTGAGCCCGGCCCTGGGTGGCTGTGGGCTGCCTGGGGCCTCAGCACTGACCTGGGGGGAAAGTGGGCCTTGAACTTGGTCTGGAACATCCTGGCCAGGATGACGAGCAGCAGCGCCAGCAGCACGCTGGTTGCTGTGAACGCCACGATCTTCCACGTGGTCAGGAGGGTCTCGTGGGTGCTGGGCCATGTTTGCTCTGCCAGGAGAGAGAACAAAGCAGCTGTGAGACTGCCAGGCTGGGCTGGGCGTTGGGGTGCCCACACGCCAATGGCTGGATGGGCCCCCTCTCCTGCCCGGGTTCACGTGAGCATTGGTGGGCCTCCATATGTGCTATGTGAGCGAATGCTTCCCCCATGTGCCACATCCAGGGGGAAGGTGTGCAGCCATCATCCTGGCTTGGGGCAGGGGGCCGTGGCTATGCCTGGAAAACACTGGGGCGGGCAGGCAGAACTGGGGCAGGCAGGAGACAGTGGTGCACTGGTGCCCAGGTCTTCACCACGGGGTCCCTACCGTGAGGCTCTGAGGCCAGTGGTGAGGATGGTTTGCTAGCCATTTGTTATCAAGTAGGAAGCACTGAATATTCACTGGAAGGGCTGGTGCTGAAGCTGAAGCTCCAGTATTTTGGTCATCTGATGCGAACAGACAACTCACTGGAAAAGTCCCTGATGCTGGGAAAGATGGAGGGCAGAAGGAGAAGAGGGTGTCCGAGTATAAGATGGCTGGACGGCATCACCGATGCAATGAACATGAACTTGGGCAAACTCCGGGAGATGGTGAGGGACAGAGAGGCCTGGCATGCTGCCAGTCCATGGGGTTGCAAAGAGTCTGACACAACTGGGCAACTGAACAACAACAGGAAGCACTGAAGCTTGCAAAAGGCTTATGTTTTTGGAAGTGAGAGCAGGTCTTGCCCATAATGACATCATCTGGGTTCTGATATGTGTCCTTGAGAAAGGCAGAGTCCTACATTGCTTGGGTCACACCCCGGGCTTGTGTCCTTGTCAGGGGAAGGGGACAAGGCTGGGAGAAGACGGAGTCCACAGTGGCCGGGTCCTTCCATGGGTGCTGGGATGTAGGGACCCCATTCAGAGGGTCCGCATGTTAACCTGGGCATGGGGGTGGTGGTGGTCGGGAAGCATCGGCCACATGGAGCCACAAAGATGAACTTCTACATCCTGTTCCTAAAACTGTGTGTGGGTGAGGAGGGCTGGGGACATGCCACCAGCTGTTGCGTGTAGCCTGAACCTGGTCCAGGGACGCTCTCCACGTGCTCACCTGACTTGACGCAGTAGACCTGATAGGATGGAAACCACTCCCCGTACTGGCAGGTGATGTACTTGTAGTCACTGGTGAGGCTGTAGCCGGGGTCGCAGTAAAACTCCACCACGGTTCCGTGGTTGTAGCGCTCACAAGGTCGCGGGTGGCAGATGAAATCGCCGTGACTCACCATGGGAGGTAGCGGACAGACTTGGGCAGTTGGGGAGAATAAGAGTTTCAGAACCACATGCTTATCCTGTCCGGACCCTCAAAACAGATATAGCTGGAAGAACACCTCACTCGGAGATGCGCTTATACACGAACCATCCACTCCAGCGAGGCTCAGCTGTCCTCAAGATCGGCCCGACTCCCGGCCCTTCACGTGAGGTCAGACAGAAGCCTGTGACAAGATTCTGAGCACGTGTGGCTGTCACATGGCATCGTAAGTTACATCGTGAAAGAGATGTTCATCTTCCACTGCAAAGAGTATGCCTACCTAATAGATAGCATTAAGCCGCTCTATTAATAACGCATGCTATTATGTGCCAGACAACCTAGTAAATAAAACTAAGATGTTTATGGGCAAAATCATCACCGAGACTGAGCCTGTTTCTGCGGCTACGGGAGTAATCTGGGACCGTCCAAATCCCTGGGTTGTCCCTGACCTGATTCTCAAATGTCCTCCTCGAGTTTGGGCACTGACACATAGGCGGCTCTGTGCAGGCGAAGACCACAGCCTCCCCATCACAGACCCCCTGACCAGTGGGCAGGAGGCCTGGGACCGGGGCTTGGTTCTGCCACCAACATGCGACATGACCTCACAAAGGTCACTTAACCCAACTGAAGCCTTGTTTTTCTCCTCTGTAAAATGGAAGCTTCTTCTGCCCTTGGTAACTTTTTCTGACCCTCATATTCTATGATTTTTAGCGGGGGAGAACAAGGGGCTTTGTTTCCTCTCTTGAACCTGTCAACTACAAATTGGCACTTGCCAAGAGCATTTGCTAGTGACTGAACAACAAGATGGGCATGTGCCATCTGCCTCTGTGGAGACTAAACCTGTGGTACTGCAGTCGCTGAGCTCCAGCGCCCCGAGGGAGTTCAGGGTATAGTGAGGCACTCTGTGCTCCAGGGGATCTGAGGCGACAGGTCTTTGGACAGTTCGATATTTTCAGGAATTGATTTCATGATCTCGATTTTTGCATCTCTTCATATCTAGAAAGGGCTTCCCTGGTGGCTCAGGTGGTAAAGAATCTGCATGCAACGCAGGACACCTGGGTTTGATCCCTGGGTCAGGAAGATCCCTTGGAAAAGAAAATGGCAACCCATCCCAGTATTCTTGTCTGGGAAATTCCATGGACAGAGGAGCCTGGCGGGCTACAGTCCATGGGGTCGCAAAGAGTCATACGTGATTCAGCAACTGACACTACCAGGGACACTCTCATATCTAGAGAAGCTCTAGATTCCTTCATGGTGACATCAGCTCCTTGTGACTAGCAGAAAACCTTTTGTAAAGTAAGCGCCTGACTGCAATGAACTCTTCCCTTCACCAAAATCTTATATATTGGCCTTCCCCCACTGCCTCTTTGGAGCAGTCTCTCAGAGCTATTTCCCTGGCTGCAGTCCTCATTTTGCTCCAAATAAAGCTTTTCTTGAATTTCTCACATTGTGTACCTTTTTTAGCTGACAAACCCAAACTCTGGGATGCAAGATAAGAACAGTTCTATCTCTGGATCCAGAAAGATGCTTTCTGTGGAGTTGCTGATTGCTCACCTCTTCCTGCAAAGAGCTCCCTTTCCTCAACAAGAGGAGCTGCCATGGCCCTTAAACACACCTCAAGAAACAATCAGCCCAGACCATCGAGGCCAGCTACAAACCCGCCATGGCCCTTAAACACACCTCGAGAAACAATCACAGCCCAGACCATTGAGGCCAGCTACAAACCCGCCATGGCCCTTAAACACACCTCGAGAAACAATCACAGCCCAGATCATCGAGGCCAGCTACAAACCCGCCATGGCCCTTAAACACACCTCAAGAAACAATCACAGCCCAGACCATCGAGGCCAGCTACAAACCCGCCATGGCCCTTAAACACACCTCGAGAAACAATCACAGCCCAGACCATCGAGGCCGGCTACAAACCCGCCATGGCCCTTAAACACACCTCGAGAAACAATCAGCCCAGACCATCGAGGCCAGCTACAAACCCGCCATGGCCCTTAAACACACCTCGAGAAACAATCAGCCCAGACCATCGAGGCCAGCTACAAACCCGCCATGGCCCTTAAACACACCTCGAGAAACAATCAGCCCAGACCATCGAGGCCAGCTACAAACCCGCCATGGCCCTTAAACACACCTCGAGAAACAATCAGCCCAGACCATCGAGGCCAGCTACAAACCCGCCATGGCCCTTAAACACACCTCGAGAAACAATCAGCCCAGACCATCGAGGCCAGCTACAAACCCGCCATGGCCCTTAAACACACCTCGAGAAACAATCAGCCCAGACCATTGAGGCCAGCTACAAACCCGCCATGGCCCTTAAACACACCTCGAGAAACAATCACAGCCCAGACCATCGAGGCCAGCTACAAACCCACCATGGCCCTTAAACACACCTCGAGAAACAATCACAGCCCAGACCATCGAGGCCAGCTACAAACCCGCCATGGCCCTTAAACACACCTCGAGAAACAATCAGCCCAGACCATCGAGGCCAGCTACAAACCCGCCATGGCCCTTAAACACACCTTGAGAAACAATCAGCCCAGACCATCGAGGCCAGCTACAAACCTGCCATGGCCCTTAAACACACCTCGAGAAACAATCACAGCCCAGACCATCGAGGCCAGCTACAAACCCACACCTGTGGAAACCACTATGAGCTTTTGACCAAAACAAGGGAGAGTTAACTTCTGAGCCTCTTCCCAGGGACACCCAAGCCCCGGCCAGAGGAGACGCACAGGCCAGCCTCTCAGCTCACCCCATGCAGCCACGTCTGCAGGGAGCTGCCCGCCCCACTCAGGCCGCTAGAAGGCATATCTGGAGCTCTCTTCCAGTAGGAACCCAGGCCCCCTGGAGACGGTCAGCAAGATGGGTCCACCCCATGGGGATGTCCCATGGTTTGGGGCCTGGAGGCTCTTAACAGACACTCTCTCATTCTGCAAAGGATGCTGCAAGGCAGTTCCTGCTGGCCTTTTTTGCAGAGTTGGGGAGACAGAAACTCAGAGAGGTCAAGTCCTCCAGGAGCAGCTGGAGGAATGGCAGGAGCTTGGGCTGAGTTCTGGCTCAACTCCTCACCAGCCGAGTGACTCCGAAGAAGTCACTTCTTCCCTCCAAGCTTCAGAGGTCTCATCTGTGAAATGGGAGCATCTGAGGGTTGGGAAAGGCTGGCCAGGCCTCCTTTCAGAGCTGAGATGACATAAGTGGGCAGCCAGGGACAACCAGGACCCAGGAATCTACAGAGAAGGGCCATAATGAGGCAACTGCCTCTGCGGGTGATGAGAAAACCAACGTGGGCAACGCGGTTCCTGAGATGAGCCGAAGCAGGAATTCACTGCCATCGGTGGGCAGGCGGGATGAGAGTGTCCTAGTGGCTGAGCCCCTGTGGAAGTTAGAGCTGTGAAGGTGTATCTGGTGAGACCTGGAGGCTGAGGAAACTCAGACACCGTCAGAGATAACCCCCCACACCCTGGGGCAGAGAGGGCCAGCGGGAAATCCCCAGCTTCTCCCCCTGCCCACACTGCTTCTGGACAAAGCCAGTGGGGAGGCAGCTGACCAGAAGGTGGTAGGGGAAGGTCCAAGATGGGGTTTGAGGCCCACAGGCCCAGGGCGTGCTCCATGAATGGTGGCTGGCAGGTGACTACGCCTCAGGTCCCATGGGCAGACCCCGGCAGAGTAGGGACCAGGGCTCTGGCTTTCCAGGGCATTCTCTGGTTTTCCAGATGCACGCCCTCCACAGAGATTCCCAGGGCCGTGGAGTCCCATCATCTGATGCACTTCCCGTTCCACAAGCTAAAGCTTCTGCCAAATCCACTACCTCCAGGGTATTCCACGTGCCTCTCCAGGAGGTGATCAAGGCAGCAGGAGAGGAAAGGGAAGGGAAGGACGAGGACAAGCAAGAGAGAAAGACCAGCATCGTGAGCTGGCCCGGGATGCCAGCTGGGATTCGGAGCAAAGACCTCTCCTTCCACAATGACTCTCCCATGAAGAACACAGTGAAGGGAGAGAGTCCACAAGCATCTGGCCCAGGGAGGGGCCACCAGGCTCTCAGAGCCGCATTCCTGGGCTAGGGGATGCCTTGGCTGCCAGAGTTACGGGGAGGTCTGATGTTCCCCGTGTGGTCAGCCTGACAGAGATGTCTGCTTGACAGAGATGTCTGCCACTTCAGCGGCCTCCAGGGCAGCCAGGTTCCCGTGGCCACCAGGGGTTCCCCTCCTCCGCACCCCCCACCAGTGCCCTCCAGCGCTGCAGAGGCTCACGGGGAGGCTGGACCTCTGCTGGGAGAGGAGGCCCTTTCCACGGTTAAGGCTTCACAGCGCAGCAGGGCTCTCCTGCTAGGAGCCTTCTGGACAAATCCTCAAGGGTCCCCCTAGGATGAGAAAATCACCAGAACACTTTCAAGGCCCTGAAAACGACTCTACTACAAAGCCACAGTCATCAAGACAGTATGGTACTGGCACAAAGACAGAAATATAGATCAATGGAACAGAATAGAAAGCCCAGAGATAAATCCACGAACCTATGGACACCCTATCTTCGACAAAGGAGGCAAGGATATACAATGGAAAAAAGACAACCTCTTTAACAAGTGGTGCTGGGAAAACTGGTCAACCACTTGTAAAAGAATGAAACTAGAACACTTTCTAACACCATACACAAAAATAAACTCAAAATGGATTAGAGATCTAAATGTAAGACCAGAAACTATAAAACTCCTAGAGGAGAACATAGGCAACACACTCTCTGACATAAATCACAGCAGGATCCTCTATGACCCACATCCCAGAATTTTAGAAACAAAAGCAAAAATAAACAAATGGGACCTAATGAAACTTAAAAGCTTTTGCACAACAAAGGAAACTATAAGTAAGGTGAAAAGACAGCCCTCAGATTGGGAGAAAATAATAGCAAATGAAGCAACAGACAAAGGATTAATCTCAAAAATATACAAGAAACTCTTGAAGCTCAATTCCAGAAAAATAAAT